TTCTTTCTTCATCATCTGTTACGTTTACAGTAGGAATGGCTATTTTAAGTAACTTCCATATTCAAGTACTCGCATTAAATTATTAGTGTCTGAAATGCAGAGCAAGCAAACATGTAGAGAGACTGTAGAGATGAGCCTACATGAAGAAAAAACACATCATTTCAATAATACTCTGATGTCTGTTCATTATTCTGCCTGTAATGTTAGATTAAGTCGTGTGGCTGAAAATACTGAACGTTACCGGCAGCTGCGCAAATCATTTTTACTATATAGAAATATGCAATTACTCTATACGTTGAAGGAATACTGACATCCAGTCGAGTAACCATGAACAACCTTGCCCCATACACTTTATAGATGCAATAAATGTCCCCAAACCTTTTCAAATATATCTGTTTTTTCTTTTAGAATACCTAAATAACCCATTGTTTGATACTTGGTCCTTTAGTCTTTTTCCAAAACAGTCAAATCTTCTGTCTGCAGGAAACAACACGACCATAATATAAGAAAAACAGTGGAAAGATTTTAGGAATCATTTTCTCTACAGTATTTCTGACCTGTTCCCCAAAGAGTTTTATATTTCTGCTGTGTGTAGCAACATTTAGTGTATACATTTGCAATGTTTCTATTATATTCATTATATTTAACCAGTAACATATGTTCAGTTTTAACCACTGACACGTGTTTCCATCTGACGTCACAGTGTAAGTGTGTGTAAGTTCAGCTCACCTCTGCGTTCAGGCTCGTGCATTTTGAAGGCGGCTGTTTTCAACCTCTTGCTGTAGATTCCCTCTGTGTGTCTGAAGGTGACTCCGCGGTCCAACCCCGGGTCTCTGTGCCCGAGGACCTCACTGCTGAAGCGTGGGGCCACGGCGTCGTCGGAGCCTGCTCAGAGCACAAAAGCGGCTCGTTACCTTCTGACGATTTGTGAGGTAAGAGTTGAATAAAAGTGACCAAAACCCACAGTTTTTCAGCCAGTAATGAGCAGAAGATGCTCAAAGACAGTCCCCTCTCCCTCTGTTTCTCTGCTGGGGCCCGAGCCCTGCCTTTGTCTCACTCTGCCCCTGAACGTGAATAATTGATGCACTGCCTGGTGTACGTTACAATAGACCAGCTGCCACCCACACAGGCACAGGGGGGATGAGAGCAGAGCCTCATTGCAGATTCAACTGCGATTTCAATTCTAGAGATTGAATTAATTCTTTAATAATTTACTTTGATTAACTTTGTTTTTTTCCCCCAGATATTTTTTTGGGCATTTCTGCTTTTATTTGTTAATGATAGCTGGAGGGAGAGAGTGAGGGGGGTGACATGCAGCAAAGAGCCCAGGTTTGATTCCCAACCGCTGCGGTAAGGACGCCGCCTTCATACACGGTGCACCTGCTCCACCAGAGGAAAACAGAACATACATTTGAGTTGCTTTAAATGAAGTACAAGTAGCATATGAGGTAATTAATAATCAGACAGTAGTGGAGACGATGTGGAACCTTTTCCATTTGGATTTATTTGTGTTAAATATGTTTATTACCATATTACTATATAGTTTAGGCTGTTAGGTTGTCTCTGGTATATTCATTTGTCATGTGCTTGTGGTTCATTGCTTTTTCTCATCTATAGATTCTCATTAATGTCTTCAACACAATATGAAACCTCTGTTATTCACTCCCCTGTGCAGTGTCAGTTCAGTCTACACCGAGCCAAACAGCATTTTACCTGTGTGTGTGCTCTCCATGGTGGTGTCCGAAGGGTCGGTGGAGAAGTCAGCTTCTGTTTGAGGGACGTAGAAGAGCTCCTCACTGCCGCGGGGTTTATAAGGCAACAGAACGGGCACTGCTGTCAGAGGGAATGTGAGAAGATTCATTTAAGGATAAAGAATTCAGCATCAGCATTTTCACACTCACAGGATCGGCTCCAGTTGTTTTGGAGACACACTTCCGCACCCTCAACTTGGACTTTGTGTTTTGGGCAACTAATCTCGCTACCTCATGGAATCAGAAGTTATAAAACACGAATAAAGTCACACAGTATGTTCTCAGTCATCCTCTAGAGCAGAACTCTGCCCTCATTTATACTGAGATAAACAGTCTTGTCAGTTAAACTGTATTATAAAACTATAAAAACAACACGAGATACGTCTGTCTTTATATAATCTAAGTACACTTCATAACAAGCCAACCTGGTGACTCTGTGGTTAAGGGTCTTGGTGGAACCACGACTTTGTGACGTGGTGTTTGTGAGGATGTGGAGGTCGTCTTTCCCTGAGGCGCAGCGGTTTTGAACAGGGCGGAGGTGTCGACTCTTTCAGGCCCCCGTTGTCTTATTGGCTCTTTGGCGCTGTACCACTCTGGTGGACTGGACAAACCGACACCTTCGTCCGGACTGCTGGCAGCAGAAGAGGAGTATCTGAGGGGGACAAACTCTCTACGTGGCAGCCCTGTAACAGCATCAGCGAGAGAGGGGGCCGAGCTCTGATCGGTGGCTTTCGGGGACAAAGTGAGATGGACATGTGATATGTGACCTGTCCTGGCTGGAGGTTCAGGGGTGGAGGAACCTGTGGCCCGTTCAGCTTCATGACCAACGCCAGAAACAGAGCTGTCCTGGACGGATACCTCGTCTAAACGCAGAGAGGGTGGGGGGGGTTCTTCAAACTGGCCTCCTACAGCATCTTGCCTCTTCTGGTTCCCTGGTGCTGTCAGGTTTTGGTTTCCGGTGTAAGGACTACTGCTTGGCTCAAACGCAGATGCAGGCTCTGTGCTTGTCTTGTCTTCTTTATCCATAGTGGGGGGGGGCAGCCTGTCGGTTTTAGGGTGTTCGACTGCTCCTGTAGAGAGCTCGGTCAGGTGGAGCGGCTCAGGTGCAGGACTGATCGGAGGTGCAGGCGACGTGGAGGGAGAGGGGGAGGTTGAGCGCCTGCGGGTGGCGATGGTGATCGATGTGAGGGCCTGAGGGTTTGACCTAGGGAGGGTTACTCCTTCTCTGGCAGCGATCTCACGTATTTGAGCCTCTAGATCCGCGCGAGGAGGGTTTTGAAGCTGCACACTGTTGAGATCTGTGCTGAGGCGCTGCGGTGGCTGGGACGGCTGCTTATTAGCATCACTGAGGGCAGTAAATGTCTCCACGTGCTGAGACAGATCCTGCCCCCTCAAGGCTTGAACACTGGATGCTGCACTGCTCTCTGTGTCTGTGCTTCCCTGGCTCTGAAAGAAAAGCAAAAAAAAAAAAACAAGAGGTCTGTTAAACTGTGAGAACAGGCAAGTTTTTGTTACCCTGTGAATTCATCCACCACAAAGATTCAAAGAGAAACTGCACCGCAAACAAAACTGGGAACAGTTAAAAACGTGTTTTTGTTGACACACCATGCCTGCAACACACTTGTTACCTCAAGCATTAGACCGGTACTGTCCAGAGATTGGAGGCAAAACAACAACAAAATATAATTATTTTTAATATATTGACATGATTTAAAGTGTGTGACGTAATAAACATTTGTAAATGTTATTATGAATGAGATTAAAATGTTATAATCGTGATTGGTTGCAGGTTTAACCTTTATGGGGTTTTTTAACAGCAGTTCTCTCTTTATCTCTTCGATCCGCTTTCTGTCTTCTTTGTCCAACTCCAGAGGTTCACACTGCTGTCCTGATATCTTCAGCTTAATCCACTCTGCAACATACAAACATTTACGCTCGTGAGGGTTTAATTAGACAGTATATCAATACGGGTAGCCAACGAGTGAGCTGGGATTGAGTTATTCTGAGTTGTGTCTGAGGAAATGAGACGTTTGAATGAAAACTCAAGATTAAAGGTGTAACATTTCAACAACATGTGCTTCTTCTGACCTCTGGCTCTGCTCTCCTCTTGGTCAGTGAGGCTGGGTGTGCTGGACACCATGGTGGCTGGAGATTCACTCTGCAGTAACTTGGCCACTCTGACTGCCAGCGAACTGTCGCTGCTCCCATCGCTCACCGCTCCTTGGTCATTGTCCTCGAGGATGGGCGAGGAGGAGCTACTCTGTGCGGGATCTTCCAGAGTAGTCTGTTCTTCCTCCTCTGTGAGACCCGCCGTGTCTGTAGGAGTAGAGGTGAGTTGTTGTGTACTCAGAGCTGGTAAAGGCGTGATAACTGGTGGCAGCGGTGGGACTTTATTGTCAGGGGGAGCGGCACTACAGCCTTCAGGTTCTGCCCGCCGGGCTGGTTGGGAGAGGACGAGAGCCGACCCTGGACCTCTACCAACAGGGCTATCTTGTGGTCTTCTGTGTGCGCCTGTGGCCGGCGCAGGAATAAGAGGTTGTGTGGATGGATAATACGGTGGCCCTGATGAACTCTCCTGACCAATAGAGCTTTTCCTCAGTTTCTCTGAGCTCAGCATGGAGTCGGACGAGGACCTGGCCCACAGCAGGGAGGATTGAGTTCTGGGATCTCCGGTAGCAGAGGAGGAGGAGAAAGAGGAGTCCCGGAGTCTGCTGGTCTTCTTCCTCAGTGAGAGGAATATGTCATCGTCAGAGAGCAGGCGGGGCGCTGCAGGGAAGGCTGAGGAAGCCACAGAAGAGCCAGCAGACACCACGTTCTCCGCCTGAGAGAGGAGTTTGCGGATCTCCAACAAGGCCTTGGAGCTAACAAAAGAGGCTTCTGCGCTTTGCTCCACACTACGGCTCGTTTGTGAGTCTCTATCCCCACGCCTGTCCTCGGTAGCTAACGAGAGGTCGGAGTCAAACCTGTCTCCGAGCTGGACGGTGTTCTGGCTGCTGGTTAAGCTGCTGTCTCTCTGCTGTTGCTGGATGGTCTGCAGTGTGGAGGGATAAGAGTCTTCATCAGGCTGGGAGGAGGAGGATGCCAGTCTGTGTTCACTCTGGATATCTTCTGGGTCGGATAAGGGAGAAGCCCGTCTGACCCGCTCGGGGATAGATACAGCTGGACCGAGACTGTCCAGGCTAAACGTTATGGACATACTGGAGTCCACTGACAGGATGCTGGACCTGGAAAACTCTCCTTTATGGGGACTGCCACCTGAAAATAAAACATTGGAGTATTTTTTAAACCAATAAAGATACACTTAACAATAAGCAGTTGCAAACGCCACCTGATTTTACCTAGCAGATGAAATTAAAACATTTCTTTCCCTCATATTCCTCCTCAGAGAACAGTAGATGAAACTCGACTTGCTATAACTTCTCTATGTGAATATGTAGTGTTACTACAGCTAGTGACATTAAACCTTTAGATACTCTCCTGGATCTTTGATTCTGAACCAAATGGTTTGGGCTTGGTGGTTAAAACATGATATATGTAGTGTGCATATATGAAAGTGAAATGGAAACTCTACTCCTCAATTACTTGTTATAGTTTCTGTTTAGAGCGTCAGTTTTTAAAGTACCTTCAGACGTTTGGATGCTCTTGGTCGGGGTCCCGATAGATCCTTTAATTGTACAGAGATCAGTGGGGGAGAATTCAGGCTCTCTGATTGGCCCTCTGGGTGCAAATGGAGTTAAGATCGTTGAGGGAGGCTGGTCGATACCGAGGTTGTGAAGATACAACTGCAAGAAAAACGAATACAGAACATCAGAGTAAATCTTCATCAACAATTAGACATTTTCCAATCGACACATTTCGATATTTTAAAGAATCAATTTTCGTTTTTTTTTCCATTACCGGAATTCGTTCTTCTATATTGAGCTCTCGGGGCCTCGGCGGAGGTGGTGGTGTTAACTGTTTTGAAGTCCAGTACGGGGCGTAATTATCAACCTCTAGGCTGACAACAGAGGAAGCTCCAATGGAAGTCCCTAATTTAATTCCACTGTTGTAGCTACCTTGAGAACTTGAGAGTGTCAAATCTCGATCAAGTGACACGTCGCTGAACCGACCGAGGGTTTGAACTGTGGCGCTCGGCTGAGGAACATCGCCCCGAGTCTGGCTCTTCTCTGTTTCTGTACGTCTGTCTGTCTGCTGATCTTTCCTGGCCGACATGACAACCGTGCTCAGAGAGGAGGGGGACTGTGACCTACCGAAGGGCGAGGCAGAGGGTCTTAGTGCAGACCCAGTATTGTCTTTGTCGCTGGGAGCACTGCCCACCGCCTCCCCTCTTCTTAAAGAGGAGCCAGAGGAGATCTGCGTCACAGTCTGGTTGGCAGGGCTTGAAACAGGAGGTTGTTGTAAACTCCTCGCCTGCTGACTCAGGATGCGATTCAGAGTGTCAGATACTGCGTCGTAAGCTTTCTTTTTAGGAGAGACGCCAGAAAATCCTTGCAGTGCCAAGCTATCAAAGAGCGATGTCTTGCCTGAACTCTGGTTTGCCCTCCAAGCGTCTACTTTCTCCATATAGTTGAGACTTGGGAGAGACTGGACTTTTGCAGAGTTGGCGTCCTCTTTGCGCTGATCCTGTTCAGCCGCAGGAAGAGCTGGCTGTGGAGAGATCTCTGCGCTTGACTGATTTGAGTTCTCTTTATTTGATTCTATGGCAGAAAGTTGCCCTAATTTAGCCTTGACGCTGGATTGGGGTGGGGCCTTAAAAAAGCCAGGTGTAGACTGAGACTGTGGGAGGAAACCCAGGTAGGATCCATCAATCCCTGTTTGGTTCCCTGAGGACCAGAGGTCTTGCTCTCTGAGACGTTCAACGCCTGCTGAGAGCGGCCCCGTCACCGGCTTGCCTTTAAATGTCTCCGTGGGATACGGCGTGAGAGGTTGAACGGGTGGCGTCGGACTTTTCCGCGGTTGTTTTTTAGATTCGGCTTGGCGACTGCCGCGGCTCTCGACCTCAGACAGCAGCTCTCTGTGTAACGCTTCACTACCGTCGTCAGGTCGAGTGCTGCGGAGCCCCGCGGTGATGTTACAGACCTCGGATGATAAATCTCTGTCCGGTTGTTGTGTCTGCCGCTGGGGAAGAGACGCTTCACCTGGAGGACCTTCTCTTTGGTCAGTGCCTGGTTTGCAAACTTTGGCGCTTTTATAGTCTTCGGTAAAAGATGCAGCAGTCTTCACGGAGGTCTCGGAGGCGGAGGAAACTGCACTACTGCTGCTGCTTAGCATGCCGATATCTTTCTGAAGGAGTGCCAAAAGATGCTGGGCAGGAATTTCCTTACTCAGAAAGAACGTCTCATCTTCAGCAGCCTCTCCTTCTGGTTTCTCTGAAGGGCCAGTTAGTGTCTCTGAGTGCTTCTCCCTGCTACCTGTATCATCTCTGGATGGTCTTCCTTCGTCTCCTGGTGACAGACTGTGCTGGGAGAGAGAGCAGCAGCTGTTCGCTCCGTCTTCAGACAGGATGGTTGCCTGGGCCAAAGGGTGCTGGGACAGCGAGGCGTGCTCTGAGCTCTGAGTGGTGCAGTGCTGGGGCGGAAAGTGAAACCTCTCTGATGCCGTGGAAATGTCAGGGTGCGCCCTTTGGAAAGCAAATAAAAAGAGACATGTTGAAGAAAACTATGTTCAGAGCCAATAACTGACTTTTAATTGTTTTTATTTTTACCTCAAAGCGGCAAATTCATTGTCACTTTGTTGAAATAAAGAGTATTCAGCGAACATGTGTTCCACTCCAGAGTTCACCGGCAGCAGAGGAAAGGCTGGAGAGAGGTTACTGTCCTGGAAATCTGATGGTACAGAAAATGCTGAATGTTATCAACAAGTACAAGAACTTACTAAGAACTTAAGTCGTAATGTTACGGAATAAAGTCGTAATATTATGAGAATAAAGTCATAATATTGTGAGAATAAAGTCGTAATATTACGAGAATAAAGTCATAATATTACGAGAATAAAGTC